AGATATTTCGTTTATCCATGAGTGGGCTACAACCACATAGGATATGTTGTGGTATTTTCTCTTCAGATCTACAGATCTTACCAGGTTTTATCTTTATTGAGTTTAACCAGTAATTGGTTTAATTAAACTAAAACAGAAAATGCAATAAAACATAAAAGTGTATTATGTGTACGTGAAGATACTGTGAGTATATTTTGCCGAGATGAATATTGAGCTAGTTTCAATAGTAGCAACAAACGTGTGAAGGTAGACGAATATGTCTGCCTATAAAAGATTTTATTTATTTACCCGAGTCTGCTTTCCAAATGAGTGCTGGGTTTTTTCGGACTACTCTAAAGCTGTTGGCCGCAGCTGGCCTTTACAGCTTCACCGAACGATGGAACCCGTGGAAGAACTTATGGAGCAGCTGAAGGCCAACTCCCTCTTGACGGATGCCACTTTACACGGGGTTTAAACGTCGATTCAAGCCATCGTAATTTTGACCCCCGTTTGAATTGATCGGGGACCGGTCGAAGGGGACTAGAGATTATTATTAATATATATATTCCATTGAATATAATTCTTGGTACAAAAAGCTACCATGGAATTAGATTTTTTCATTCTAAAAAATCTTTTTACGAAAACTATCTAAATATTGGATGACAAAGATGGAGTGATATAAAATCACTCCATCGTTGTCATAGGTACATTTACTGAAACCTACTTAAGTAGTATTTAAACCGAGTTTAGTTCTCTGAAAATTTGCATTAGACAATTGACAAGCGATAATGGTGGGAAAGCCCAACGTGAACCGTAAACATATTTTATCTAATCTTTCAAATGCACGATTCTTCAAAAAACGATTTCAGAAAAACATAGGTAATATCTATGAAAAATACTGTGTATATACCTAATGATTTTAATTTATGGTAAGCCTGAAGAGGTGCATAATATTTATCCTTTTTTCTATTTTTTTTTATTATTACCTCTTTTCTAAGCTAATGTTTTGTGTAATTGGGAATGTATTGGCATTTTATAATCGTGCAATAGAGTTCATATTCCAGAAGATTATTTCCTTGTTTCATAAAATCAAAATATGTTTATTCATGTAGGTCTATTATAGGCTCTAATGATATGTGAAGTCTAGCGTCAGTTCGGAGTTCTTTCGCTGAGAAGAACTGACAAGAAACTCAGCTCTTATTCTGTTCAAACGAGCTTATTACATTTTTAAAATCAATTAGACAGAATATGTACCAGCAAATTCTATTGCAATTTTTTTGTAACTTTATGTAAATACATACATAATATACATAGAAAACACCCAGAACGATACAAACAAATGTTTATTTGTATCATGTATTTGATACAGATATAGAAGACAACATATTCTGAATTTGATTGACTGCTTTTTTATTATGTACGTTCTTTTTGTATATCTGTAATCTCCTATAATGCTGCTTATAGCGTTCATAAGCAGATGAATTTTGATTGATTGTTTATTTATTATGTACTTTTTGTATATCTAAAATCTTCTGTAATGCTGCTAATAATAATATATATACATAAGCAGACAATTAATTCCTTGTTTGATGTACACAACTCATTATTCTAATTAACAACAAGTACTTTAGTCTAATAATTATAATTGAATAATTAGATTTTATAAAGGGTCGATAATTAGTTTGTTTATTAATAGTGTTATAGTTAAATTAAATGTATGTTTGGCTAGTGCATATAATGATATTATTATCCGCGTTTATCTCAATAATTATATATAATTAAAATTATTATAATAATATAATGAGATATCTAGAATGTTCTCATTGACTAGCGATAAAGTTTTCAGATAACATCTGTTTTGTTTATCTGTCTAGACATAGCTCTTAATACAGAGACATTTCTAAAGCCTAATTTATATTGTGCAATCTATTTTAATAACTTCACTACATTTTGTGACAATCACAGTGGTCTAGAGGTTCTCTAGATCGCTTTACTTCCTATGATCGCGTCGAACATACCAATGACTACCAAGTCATGAGTATATTTGTCTCTTGGTATTTGCTATGTATAGATTTTAAGTTATTTATGGGGTGGTGACCTCATTTTCATCTGATCACCAGTGAAGAATAAGATGAATATGAGGTCAAGTCATTTCCCATCATTCTGCGATAGGACAACGATTAATAACAAATGCCCATCGTGGCTTATTCTCCAATAATTTATCATGATGCTTTTTAGGGAAACCGCGTGGAGGTTATCCTGATATGGTACATTGCTAGCAATGGCATCAACAGTCCACACTAATAATAACCCCCATTTATTAGTTGTCTAGTACCCATTACATAAGCTCTAATTAACTTGGGACTAGATGGCGTTTTCTGAATTGTTCTGAGATATCATTATAGTAATACTAGATGACCCTCGCTACTTCGTTTGCGTCACACTTACTTGATATTTATCGTTATAATTCGTCCAATTTAAATAATATCTTTTTATATTATATTCTATGCTTTATTCTGATGTACAAGCTTATTACTGTAAAGTTTCATTAAAATCCATTCAGTAGTTTTTGCGTGAAAGAGTAACAAACATCCATCCATACTCACAAACTTTCGCGTTTATAATATTAATAAGATATACCTAATCAAAATAAAATAAAACTAGTATCGAAAGATACGTTACTGACACGGCCATGAATTCAATGTATTTTAGATCTAAACTAAAAATAACTAGCTCTCACAAATAGTTTCCTGAAAAACGAAACTGATTTTAGTTCATGTGTGATGCATGAACTGGGTAGAGTCTGTACAAAGACATTACAATAATCCTGGCCTTTTTTAATGAACAAAAATAGAATGTTTTAAAAACCTTCATAACATTTGGTATCACAAACAATTGGTATCACAGTTTCAAAAAATTAACCAATATAACGTAAGCTTGGTTAGTGCAAATCAAACTAGTCCAAACGTAGGAGAAGTATATTTATGTATATATATATATACATAAATATACTTCTCCTACGTTTATACTAGCTGTACCCGCGGTTTGAAATTTATAATATACTAGCTGTCCCGGCAAACGTTGTTTTGCCTTAAAATAAAAAAAAAATTTGGGGTGGACTACCCCTAATATTTAGGGGGATGAAAAATAGATGTTGGCCGATTCTCAGACCTACTCAATACGCTCACAAAATTTCATGAGAATCGGTCAAGCCGTTTCGGAGGAGTATGGGAACGAAAACTGTGACACGAGAATTTTATACATAAGATCTTATTCTGATGCATAAGCTATATTATTGCAAAGTTTCATTAAAATCCATTCAGTAGTTTTAGCATGAACGAGTAACAAACATCCATCCTCCATCCAACACAAACTTCCGCGTTTATAATATAAGAATACGATTATATTTATATAAGATAGATAGATTAATGCATTATTCATCCATTACAAATGTATAACATACATGAGATAAAAAAATGTAAAATTTTAGAAATTAAAAAATGGAGTTGGATTTGTGTTTCGCAAAAATAAAGGGGCACCAACTCAGCATAAAGCTACAGATAAATCTGCAGTGCTGATGGACTATCAGTTGCATTAGTCTATATTATATATACATATAAATAAAGTTGGTGTATCCGTCTGTAATATTGAAATAACCATTTTTTACAGCATGCATATGAATATAATACGGTACATAAACCAAAATAACATTGTTTACAATTTTTGTCTGTCTGTTTGTTACGCCTAATCTCTGAAATGGCTGGACCGATTTTGACGGGACTTTTTTGGCAGGTAGCTGATGTAATAAGGAGTAACTTAGGCTACTTTTAATTTAGAAAAATAAAGTTAATATCCACGCGGAAGAAGTCGCGGGAATAGCTAGTTTATCATATAAATTATTCGTGTTAAGATCCATTTACGTAATAGAATAATGCACAAAAATATGTTATCTTCTTAATAAAATACTTTTTAGATAATTGTAAATTTATGCATCAATAAACCGCCAATAAATCGTAACACCTACATGTTATGACGTGTATGCAACGAGATAATTAAAATATATATGTATTTCTTTATCTTTGAAAGTTAAGATAAACACGTGTTATCATGTAATAACTCTATATAATACCTATTACACGTATTAGATAAGTTTCCTACCCACCATGGCCAGATATTACCGATAATCTCAATGTCCAATAATTTAAGACGATAACCGTATCAATTATTAATTTATTATGTAATGTAAATGATTGTACTGAATGCACTTGACTAAAGCCAATTCAAAAACCTTAAAAAAAAAACTTTGTTTTTTTAGGGTTTTGGAATTGTCAGGTGTAACACTCCGACCTGCAGAGATCTATTGCTCGCCGTTTTCCAAAGTTTTGTTTCATAGTCGGTAAAAATACTTGAACTAATGATAATAACAATAAATTATGTATATTTTTCAAGTATTTTTTTTTTTCCATTTTAATCATAAGCAATGTAATAATTAATTTGATACTCCATTGATTCGTAATTACAGCCTTTTAGCCTAGCCTTAAAATTTTTTTAATAAGCGGAAAAACAAATGTTGTAATGACTGTTTAAGTATTAATCTACGTGTGTTTATTTGAATAAAGTTTATTTCCATTTCAATTTAATAGATATAAATGAGTGAATAATAGTGAATATAGCTCAAATCTAATTAAAAGTATGATAAAAATTATGCTCAAATAGGTAACCTGCAGTTAATGTTAATTGTCAACACGTAGGTAGGTAATGATAAAATGTAATCACTATTTGCTCAGGCATTGCGATACATGATACGCCTACATATATTAGAATTTTTAAACAAAGTTTAGTTTGATAGTTGTAAAAGTGGGGAGATAGTGGAGGTATCACTTTAAACCTTATAACCATGCATATAAAGGTGTTTCAGAAGTACACGATGTCTATAAATTTAAAAAAGTTAATTTTAAAATGTAAATATGTGTGATTTGTCCAAGGTTACTAATTGGTTTAAAAATAAAAATGTGCCTTACATTCTTTGTAAATAGGGTTGATAGTTGTAACGACGCAGCCCGCCTGGATCGTCCCAAACGCCACCACTGGGAATTCAGGACAATTGGGCATCATGATACCAACGACGTCGCCAGGTCTGAGACCGAATTTTTTTATAAGTGACGTAGCAAATGTCGCCATATATTTCTGTAGTTGCTGGTAGGTATAGGTTTTCTTCGTTTCCGCATCTTCCTGAAAACAGAGAATTAAAACACTTACTTTTTTTTTAAACACAAAATGCACGTGGTTTTCTTTTCGAACTATTCTAATGTTGTTGGCTGCAGCAGACTTTTACATTTTCACATAACGATAGGGGGCGAGTGCAGATGACACTCCAAACCCACGGAAGGACTTATGTAACGGGTAAAGGCGAACTTCCTCCTAACGAATACGACTTTACTCAGGTCATCTTAATTTCGATCTTTGTTTGATTGATATGACCCTTGCCCAAAGGGTTCGATCAGAGCCATACTGTTTATGTCTATAGACGACGGTATTTTTTTGGATGATAATGAAATGGTGCACCCAGCTGCACTAACGGTTTACGCTGGCGGAGGACCAGTGGAGGATGATAAGATGAACATGAGGTCAGGTCAGTTAGCCCATCGTGGCAAATTCACTAGGAATTTATCACGATGGTCTCTAGGAGGAACCGCGTGAAGGTAGACCTGACATGGTAGACGACGGTTAACCATGAAAATTTGTAATGGACGTCAAGTCATTACAAATTTTCATCCAAAACCTGAGAAACATTTCCAAGGTTGTAAGCAAATAATAAATATAAGAATTGCTTGTTAGCTTATTGAAGAGACGTGGTTCATTATATAGATGTACACATGTATTTCCTCTAAATTTAAACGACCACGCGTCAACGTTATTACTCTAACAATATTATATTATCTGTGCTCTAACTACGATTTTCAATGTAACTAGGTCACTTTGTGACAAGTATACCAAAATTGTTAAGTGCGAGTCAACTCGCACTGACAGAGGATATAAGTACTTAATGCATCTGGGAATAGATTTCTTTTTGCAATATTGTTGGAATGTAAACCAATTGAAACATATTTATATTGTTCACAGGGTCTGAACACGAATAGTTTTATGGTAAATAAAGGTTAACTCTCTCGTTGCGACAAGGTTGCACTAGTACCTTTATTTACTATAAATTATTAGTGCAGAAGATCCATTAACAATATCTTTACATAGTATAAAATGAAGTCGCTTCTACTGTCTATTCGGTTAGATTTTTAAACTACACAACAGATTTTAATGCAGTTTTAGCAATAGATAGAGTGATTCAAGAGAAAGGTTTGTATATATAATAATTCCTATAACTAACAATCCCCATCCAATATTATAGTGTGATATACAACAATATAATGTGGAATATGTATCAGTACATACCAAAACAACAATGGGGATATATCAACAACATACATTATTATCATAAGAATTTAAATTGGCACACACGATGTGCCAGATATAATTCAATGATTTGGCCTGCGCATGAACTTGTACTGGTCGAAATGTTTGATTGATTGATTTGAATATTTGCGTGTTGGTCATGGCTGGAATAATCAGCATCATTAAGAAGGAATGAAGATATGATCTTCATGTTGCTGAGACTGATATGTGGTGTGACATGAATGGGTAAGATAAAGAGTGAATACATTAGAGGAAGTTTGAAAGTGGCGCCGATGTTAGAGAGGTTGAAGAGTAATCGTTTGTTTGTTTGTAATACTTTATTGTACAATAATATTATAAATGAAAGAACACAATTGACTTAAAAAAAATGCGTACAATGGCGGACTTATCCCAAAAGAGGGATTTCTACCAGTCAACCTTTGAGTTACTGAGAGGAATTGCGGAGTGGTGGAAAAAGGTACAATAAATAATCGTTTGTCGTGGTATGGGCATGTAATGCGTAGGAATGAAGATAATATTTTAAGGAAGGTGCTATATATGAATGTGGATGGTTATAAGGGCAGAGGAAGACCGAAAAAGAGACGGATGGACTATGTGAAAGATGATATGGTAAGAAAGGGAGTAAATAATAATATTATATTTATTTATTATTTATTTAATATGACTACGAACAGGGATGAATGGAAGAGCAAAACATATTACGCCGACCACAAATAAATGCGATAAGGAAGAAGCAGTTGATTAAGGAGGATAGAGATTGTTAGTAATGTGGACTAATAATGTATTATGACAGGTTGACCTCCACGCGTTTCCCCTGGAAACCTATTGAAACTGGCAACAACCATTGTAGTCTTAGACCACTTGGTGTCGCTCTCTTCTTCATGTTAATAAAATGCAAAATTAAAAAAAATATGGATTAATTGGAATTTCACATGCAACCGACCCTGTTGACACGTTTTATATTTTTCATATTGTAACACCTATAATTAATCATAATCTATATTATTGCATGTATAAATAAATAATTATTTTATAGTTAAGATAAAAATAAGACGGTTTATGACCGCCATTATGACGGGCATATTCATTTTATACAGTCATCATGTATTTTATTATATTTTAGATAGGTAAGCAAACAAGGTGACGGATGACAAAAACTTCAGGTGGAGCTGACCGTAAGTGGTAACTTTCACCTATACCTGTATATATCGGAACATCACGGATGAAACTGTACCTGTTGTACCTGACGAGTGAGAGTTACTGAAGGCTTTGTTAGAAAAAATAGAGAGATTTTTGTTTTGATTTGATTTGAACAGTTTTAATGAGCTATTCAAAATTCATATATTAATGTAGGACACTTTAGCCGCTTAGAACGTCAAGTTTTTGTATTAATATTTATTCCCTACCGTCTGAAAATTACTGGCAAAAAACTCAACTGTTTTTTTTTATTTAAAAGCTAGTTTATTCACATTGTCTATTTATATAGGTGTCAGTCTAACGTTAAATGAAAATCCCGTGCATGTTGCAATGCACGTTTGTCATTTAGTGGTATAATCGTTTCTTCTTCTTTTAATTTAGTGAGTCATATGGCTCTGCTCAATAAATATGATTTAACGATGTTTTTGACAGCGATATATTGCGTTTACCTACTAAAGCGATATATAATAGACTGTTACAAAAAAAAGAATAAGCTAACATGATTACAAAATTACAAAATTTAAAAATATAACATCCATCAAGAAGTTTGCAATGACTCCTTGATTTTGACTTGTCATCATGAGACGTCCATAGCACCACATACGCGTTACCTTTTCGGAAGACTAACATGTCATGACCAGGTGAGACAAGTCCACTCAAACACTTTGTACGAAGCCTGCTATAATGCTGTTCATATATACCGGCGACGACGACGTTTAGCACTTACCATCAGGTTGTCTTGTACGCTTGTTTTATCAAATTAGGTGTTATTTTGCTTTCCATTTCACTACTTAATGGATTGTTAGTACTTTGTTTAATTCCACTACCATTAGCATGTGTGAGACCACAAAGATTCAGTCCGGAAACCTGTCCACCGCTACTGGAAGCGTTACGGGCTTCTCTATTGGTAATCAAATTCCTAGCGTTACTGAATCTACACCCATATTGCTACACATGTTTCGCCTCTGAACAAAGCGTCAAGCATTAAATAGAGCTCAGATAAAGCATTAAGCCTCTTTACATTTGCATTAGGTACATAAAAAAATCTTGAAGAATTAACCACAAATTAACAATTCAATTAAACAGTACAACTCTATTAATATAATAATAACATTATAATATTGTAGGGTTGCCATGCCCAAATTTAAAAAACCAGGACTGATAGTTCAAAAAACCAGAACTATCCAGTTTAAAAACAGAACGCAGTAATAGTGTTGCAATAAATATTAATATGTAGTAAAATTCAAGTAATTAATATAATCAGATTTTTAATAAAAAATATTTGATACAATTATACTGTTGAAGATCAGTAATTAAGAGGTGCGCATATTTTAAAAACCCAGGTCGCTCCCAAATGACTATTCAGGACTTCCCAGGGCACTTCATAAACCAGGACATTACCTGGGAAAACAGGACGGTTGGCAACTCTACAATATTGTAACAATAGTTCATTACGGTAATACATAGTAACTCTTTCCATGATTGCAGCCGTTCTTAGTAATGACCTTATATAATCATCAGATACGTTTTATCACGAGGTCTATAATTTTATTAGCAACGTTTAGACTTGAAGGTAACGCCGGTTTATAGCAACTTCTACAATACAGTTACACTATAATTTGTTTTAGGTTTCAAATAGATAGATAGTAGATAGAATATACTTTTGTTTCCACACTACATGAACTCCCGATATTTCGATGCTTGGACTCTTGGTTACTGGGCTACTGGGTGTTATTATATTGGTAAATATCTCATTTAAATGATGTTTGCAAATGTAAAGAACTGTAAAAAAACTTTATACCTTACTAGCTGTACCCGCGGTTTCAGCCTTGTTAAATTGAAATATATAAATTTAAATAACAAATATAGCCTATGTATTATTCTGTTGCATAAGCCATATTACTGCAAGGTTTCATCAAAATCCGTTCAGTAGTTTTTTGCGTGAAAGAGTAATAAATATCCACACTTAGAAACTTTCGCGTTTATAATATTATTTAGATAAGATTTGCATTACATAGTAATTAGACATATAGTATATAATTATATCATAATTAGACATATTGTATCTATATAATTTATATCAAGTTACATATGTAAAATTACAAATAGCAAGTCTATTGCTTAAAGCCATCTTTTCAAGGCTAACTTAAAAAAGGATCAAATCATTAAACAGATAGATATGCAAAGAAGATTATTATAAAATAAAATAAGAATATTATAATGATGGAAGGAAATAATGTTAAACATAATCTTACTAATATTATTCCGCGAAAGTATGTGAGTAGGGTCCATCCCTACTCACATACTTTCGCTGTTATGTGAGTCTGGATGGATAAATGTGTGATACTCTGGCACGCAAAAACTACTGAACGGATTTAATGAAACTTTAAAGTAATATAGCTCATACATCAGAATAGCATATGGGCTATATTTCATGAGCGTGAAACCGCGGGCACAGCTAATAAAATTATGGTGTTAAATTTTTTATGGAAAAACATATTTTTGTGACAGAATTAAGTTTTTATTTTAATGTCGTTAGCTTTGAATACATTACTTAGTTGAAACAT